CTGGTGACAAACCAATCAACAATCTATTGCCCGAAAAATATGTAGATGAAAACAGAGATGGACTGGATGTACACTGAAGCAGAGACCGTTGAATGACATCACACGCTAGACAGGCCTTCAAGTAGAATCCAAACATAAAATGCTAAAAAATGATGTGTTCAAGGATGACTTAGAGTAGATCATATGATGGGGGAAAATCATGGAACCAGCTAAACAAGCTGTAGAGAACGAGGTAAAAATGAGGATGTGCCACTGAAGCCCTGTGTTCCACTCGGCATCGAAGGGAATTACAGAGGAATGTTTACATTATCAACAGTTTTGAAGAAATTCCTTAGTATACAGTTAAAAAAAGATGACTGTCTTGGAAAAGCATTCAAAAAAAGGTGTATTTACCGTTAAGCAAATAAATATGGATCAATAAGGTTGGAGGGAAAAAATACGGCTTGTCACATAGTCTATTTATTATATATCATAGAACCGGGAGAAATCGGTACCGTGTGGTATACGAACTAGTGAAACTTTGAATACTAAAAATAGATTCTAATTCACAGTATTTTGTCTAGCTTTGTTTCTTTATCTACCTCCAGATCACAATGGCTTTGTAAATAATGTCATGTTTATTAAGACAGGCCCCAGCCCGAAAATTCTTAAGCTGGCCGATTATCTTTTTTTCTTAATATGTTTATAAACGCTTCAAACGAATTACTAAATGTACTTGCATCGTGTAAATCCAGCATATCAAATCCTACAGGTCGTTGAAATCGTAGCCTATTCATGATCTGTTGTAAATGCCGATACAAATGATGATTCTATTATGATGGTGTAGAGTGGAGAATCAAAGTGATAAAAGGCCATCATTTATTGATCAACACACTTAATTCTATTGAAATTATATGATCATTGAATTTTTGATAAGGAACCACACCCAAGATATTATCTGCTCATAATTCAACAGAGACAGAGAGAGATAGATAGATAGAGACATTAATTCCATATTGGATAAGTTAGTTATTTGATATAACATATAGTGAGTGATATAGTATTAATAGCAATGGCTGAGATCATTTTTGCAGATTCAAAAGAGCCAATTATAAAAAAAAAAAGTGTCATTTACCAAATACCATCATGGCCTCCAGAGCCTCAGGATGGTCGGGGGTGGGAGCCTTGCGCTGCGGGTTGGCCACCCCTCCGCACACCTCTTCAAATGCTCCCATATGACCGGGCGTCTTACATAGCCTCTCCTGAGGAAGTCCTACTCACTGCCTTCACGTGGCGGTGTTTTCCACCAAAGTGAGAGGGCGAAAGCGGATGCCCGGCGCTCTTCACCGGGTTGACTGTCCATTGGATGACAGTCTAGGGGAGATGGCTAAACGCTGATTCCAAACCTCCAACGACTAGTGTATGAAGCTCACTGGAGCTCACCGGCAGACGTATGGACAAAGGGCTTGTTGGATGTCCTGGATGTCTGACCCCATTCAAAAGGCGTATGAACCAAACTCCGGTCACCGGCTGCCAATGGATAGTGGACTCCCTACTCCACTCCTACTGCCTTGTAGGTCACACTTGGTTGTGTAAAGGCTAGAGCTGCACTCTCAAACAAAAGACCGAGTGATTCTGGGGAGATCACTCGTACCAAATTCCCATGAAACTTCATGAACTCTCTTGCATCAGATCGCCGCGCCTGGGCAGCGATGATTCGAGATGTTCATGAAGCCGGCTCATCCTCCCGTAGGAGATAGCCGAAGTAAAGTAAAGTAAGTAAAATACCATCATGTAATGGCTGTAGGATCAATGATACAGATCGAACTGGTAGTTCAGGATGAATGAGGTTATCAGGTCTTACGGATTTCATCTAGCTAGATCTAAAATGACTGACTCTGATCAATTAAGTAGTCTTGAAAAAAAGGATCAGCTATAGCAATTCATTCACCTGTACATAAACACACAATGGGATGTGCACGACAGGGTAGAACAGCATTAAAAAGTAACAATAGTTAAGAGAAGTGCGTCGGTGGCATAGCGGTTAGGACGCTCGCCGACCATGCATATGGTCCGGGGTTCGATACCCGGCCGACAAACTCCTTTACCTCGCTAAGCCAGAAATAATGCTGGTAAAGAGGAAAGGTTGGGCATGAGACTAGCAACCCCATTATGTAAAATAAACACTGCTACAGAAACTTCAAGCCACTAGCTTGAAGCCCTATGTTCCACTGAGGAACGTGAAGGAAAAAAAAGATGTATATATAGAGAAAAGTACAATAAAAAGCAGGAGAGAGTGAAGTTATATTAACCAAGTTAATGGGTCCTGTGAATACACTGTTATGATGATGAGTAGTTAATACACTGTGCTCGAAACAACATCCAGTTGTTATTTATTAGTAATCAATGAGACTGAACAAATATTAGAAACGGGAATATCATACTGGATATATAATAATGACAACTCATTCGCTGTTTAATCGTTTAGTAGTGGAATGCTTTCCAGCTACAACGAAGCAAGAGGTCTCTGGGTTCGTTCCCCAACCGAGTCAATCTTAAACCTCGCCTAATTTACTAACCGGTAATACGCCCCCTGCAAAGAGGTAAAGTGCTGGAAGCCCTACATTCATTCCACTCGGCAATAAAAAAGACTTCACCAATATTTTCATGCACACTCCCTTTGACATTAGAAAAAAACAAACTATCAAAATCAAAAGAAAGATAAAGTTGTCTGAATATAAGATGGAAATAATTCATCAAAAGTACTCGTCAACTTACACTTTTTTTCCTTTCCTATTACTTATATGTATATTTCCCAATATTTTAAGTGGAGTTATTACAAATTCCATTTCATGATAATTAAGCAAAGTAAACTGAACTACATGAGTTCACAAACATTTAGTCGTACTGTATAGTGTAGTATAATGTAATGTATGGGGGGTTAAACGATTTCAGATACTATACCATCAGTGGTTAAATACACAATATGAACTTTGTTAAAGTACACACACAAAAAAACGAATAAAAGCAACAGATTTATTGAATTACTTAAAAAACGCAAATAATAAATCATTGAAATGGCCAATAAATGTATATTTTCATAATTTCGATTTATTTACCCTATAGACTTATAATATGCATAGTGCATCATAATTGTATAGATGACTTCCCTTTACATAAGCTCAACAGCTGCTGTCTGTGATGACAATATATATACAATAATCCAAGTAAAAGTGTCAAGAGTATAAACATTTACATACAAAAAATAAATGAGAATGATGACTAATATATATATATATATATATATATATATATATATATATATATACATGTCTATATATATATATATATGTATACCAGCAACGCGCCCAACAATACCAACAACGGAGACAGAGATACCAGTGAACACCAACCCCTCGGCGAAATCAGAAGTCCTGAAGGCAATCAAGATGCTAAAAGCTGGAAAAGCAGCAGGAACAGATGGAATCCCAGCAGAAGCATTGAAAACGGACCCAGAGACAACAGCGGACTTGATGACGCCACTAGTGGAGAAGGTGTGGAAAGAAGGCAAAGTACCCGAGGATTGGAAGAAAGGATACCTATTCAAACTACCAAAGAAAGGAGACTTAAGTCAATGCAAGAACTGGCGCGGAATTATGCTCCTGTCCATCCCAAGCAAAACACTAAGGGGCATCATTCCGGATAGGATCGAACAAGCCCTAGATGAAAAACTTTGACCGGAACAGGCTGGATTCAGGAGAAACAAGTCATGTATTGATCAAATCGCCACATTACGGATCATCATTGAACAAAGCTTGGAATGGCAGTCGCCTCTCTATCTCAACTTCATCGACTTTGGAAAGACATTCGACAGCGTCGATCGAGAGGTAATTTGGCAACTACTTCGCTACTACGGGGTGCCACCGACAATTATACATCTCATCCAACAGCTCTACGACAATGCTGCATGCCAAGTAGTCCACAACGGGAAACTTACGGAATCCTTCGGAGTGAGGACAGGAGTAAGACAAGGCTGCCTACTATCGCCAATGACTTTCCTGATTGCAGTGGACTGGATAATGCGACAAACAGCGGGCAATGAAGAGACAGGCACACAAAAAACTTGGAGGATCTGGACTTCGCCGATGATATATGTTTGATTTCCCACAAACTGGAAGATATGCAAGCGAAAAGTAACAATTTGGCAGAAGAAGCATCCAGAGAAGACAGGACTTCAGGTGAACATAGATAAAACAGAGGTGATGAAGATTCCTGGGCAACACCACCAACAGTAACAACAACAACTGACAACAATCAGCATAAATGGGAGGAACCTGAAAGAAACAACCTCTTTTACCTACCCACCTACCTGGGAAGCATCGTTTCAACTACAAGCGGAACTGACGAGGATATCAAAGCAACAATCGGAAAAGTAAGACAAGCTTTCACTACTCTCAAGTCTGTGTGGAGGTCAACAGCACTCAGCATCAAAAATAAGATCCGGATTTTCAACTCCAATGTGAAGTCAGTGCTACTATACGGATCAGAGACTTGCCCTGCGCGTCATAAAGAGCATCTCAAACAAACTACAGACCTTCATTAACAGTTGTCTTCGCTCAATACCAGTCAAGATCAGATGGCCGGCCAGAAAAGATCAGCAACAGAGATCTCTGAGAGCGAACCAACTCAGCAGGAACCGATTGTGAAACAAATAGGCAGGAAGAAATGGAGATGGATTGGCTGGCCATACTCTGAGGAAACCATCAAGTGACATCACTAGACAAGCCATTGCTCGAGTGGAACCCGAAAGGGAAGCTGCGAGTTGGTCGTCCAAGGGTGACCTGGAGGAGGTCATGTGAAGAGGAGATGAAAGCGTGTGGACAGACTTGGAGCCAGGTGAAAACTCTAGCGGAGAACCGAACGCAATGGAGACGCGCGGCTGAAGCCTTATTTTCCTCTAGGAATTAAAGGAAACAATAATAATAATATATATCAGAGCTATTACACATTCGATAAGTTACCTCTAATATGAGTAGCTGGTAGGCATTCAATCTGCCGTGAAAGAAACAATTCACGATGTTTTAGCTGATGTTTTTGAAGTTCAGTGATGCCGGAATTAGGACGTTTAGTAGATTCTTTAGAGTTTCCACCATTTGAACTGGTTGTTTCATCTGAACACTCTTCATCGTAATCATCATCATTGTCGCCATCTATAAGGTAAGGTGATCAGAAACATTATTAAGTAAGACATCCAAAGACATAGATGCATAAAGAAGTAAGATTTGGTACAAGGGAAAATCCTCCTTAATAATAACATGTATATGGAGTTGTAGCTCATTAGTTTTAGGCTCTCGACTTCTAACTAATGAGTTACGAATTCGAAACCCACCCTACTTGTCGAGTTTTGAACAGCCAGGCAGTATTACTAGTCCTCACCACAACAGATGTAGCACACGGTCAGGTGTACATGGAATTGTAAATGTGATTGTTGAGTGACATTAATATTTAACATCAAGAACTGGATTTTAAAGCTGGTTGGTTTTCATTAACCAATTATAATCTGAAGATTTCTCACCAACGAAAGCATGAGCCTAATTAATACTATACGTGAAGCCTGGTAGTAATTATATCGAGTTGCTTAACTTTGTGCAAGTGGAAACGTGAAATGAAAAGACTAGCTGTGTTTCATCATAGGTGCCTGCGTTCTATCTCCCGTGTGAAGTGGTATAATAGGGTGAGCAATATTGAGGGTAGGCGTCGAGGGTTAGGTGAGGAGGGGAAATCAATAGACGAAACTGTGAAGTTACATCGACTGAGACATGTTACGCATGCCAAGCCATCGCCTTGCTCGACGGACAGTGTTAGCTGACATAGGGTCAGGTTGGAAATGAGCCAGTGGTGGTCAAACCAAAACATGGCTTCATCAGTCAATGAAATCTACAACAGTTAGTTTAAGCCAGCCAGCCACGTAGGAAGGTGTACACTTCCTGACTGGTTGGGGTCCTCGGGATGGTAAAAACCAATGGCTGGAGACAATTGGTGATATGGCTCAAAGTCGTTCTCAATGACTGGTGTAGATGCATCCACTCATTGTGACTTATAATACCCAACGAAACTATATTGTTCTTCGATACTAATATTCCTTTTGTCTCATATCCCTATCTACTGTCCTTATTACGTATTTCTTCTACTTTCTTCTCTTGCTTTGTGTGCTATATGGAATGTGGCGACTTGAACTACTGCACACTGGTGCAAAGTTCTATGTCGAAAGCAGACAGAGAGAAGTGGAAACGTATTCAAACCTTTGATCCCGTTGTAGTCGAGAATTGATTGCCTAAGGCAATGAGTGACATCCCCAATTGCCCAGTGACACAGTCTATGCTGCTTAGTTTACTTCAGTATAAACTAGTTCTTAACATCCCCCAAAAAGGTACAGTGGAATGCAGTTATCAACAGCTAGAGAAAAAAATACACTAGGTCTATCAGATACTTTCCAACCTAATTGTTTGGAAGTTACAACTCCTGATCTCTACGGTACGAAGCTACTCCATCCAATCATACATATGATGAATGGAACACAGATTTTGGACACATTTATCCCAACATACACTCCAGATATCTTCAGTCAAAGTTCCCGATTAGAATGTGTGGTGTAGAATATGTGTAGGCCGGTCAGTAATTTCAACATTCATTCTACATGTCCATAAATCGGGTTTACAATACTATGAGTATTACTTTCTACCGAAAAGACGGATACGACGTAACCATGTTTTATTACTCAATATATATATATATATATATATATATATATATATATACGCGGCTGATTTACTGCCCACTATTTTCCGTAAGACGTGCGCCCAAGGGAATGAGAACAAGATAACAGGGTAGTGACAAGACATATTCACAATCAGACATTCGTTATTACAGCGCGCGCGCACACACACACACACACACGCATACACGAAGAGGCATACGTACAGCAAAAAAAATTAGCCACATACAGTGAGATGAACAAGGCTGAAATTAAACAGACAAACAAACAAACAAACAAAACAGGAACACAGACACAAACACAGATGCATGACCTTAAGACCAATATAAAAACAAAGATGGCTGACTTGTATGACCAATATGGCGTCGCCCTGTAATAGCACACATGCGCGCAGCCATCATGATTCATTGCTTTTCATGATTAATTAAAGTTAAGACACATACATAATAGTGGAGAGAATAGATGACATGGGCAGCATAAGATTAACACAATGGCTACAATTGACAATCTACATTAGAAATTAGCAGTATTCACAAGTAGATTTTCTTTTGGAAACGGAGAAGTGCAATCTGCTCAACACTGAGGATAGTATAAAACAAAGTGAGCAGAATTCTACGATGCAAACTACTGAAAGCCCCATATATTAGTCAATAGTACTCTAGTCAGTAGAGAAAAGTTTATGTACGGGAATTGTTCTTTCGGTTGTTTAAGGCTGAGAGCTCATCGACGACCCCATATACATCCCAAAATGCCTATCTTGAAGCCAGCCTGCTCTAATTTTTAGACGTCAGGTGAAAACAATAAGTGTACAAGGGTGTTTTAGAAGTTATTTGAATGGAATACGTCAGTTATTAGGATCAACTCGAGAGAATTTTCGCCTAACTCATACACTTCAGCAAAACCTAAAGAATTATTCACATCCTTACGACTGGTTAGGAAGCTGGAGAGTCTGTAGATGCATAAGAGAGAAAAAGGCGAAAAGTATATTGTCATGACATCATTTGCCTATCACATCTAAAAATCACATATGAATGAAGGCTACTTACATATAAGTTTGCTATTATGCAATAATACAGAAGATTTGTAGTGTAGGTGGATTGCGTTCTCTGAGCTGAATTGCCATTTCCAGCTCTAAACGTTGATACTTTTAGGCTTGTTGTAACCCTAGCGGTCCTACACTACATTTTTTTTAAATACTGAAGAGGCACGTTCACATGCGTCGGCAGTATGTCTACTAACACAGTTGTTTTCTATGTTTCACAATGGTTGAATGGTTACCAAACACGCATGTAGTCCGGTTTTGATTCCCGGCCAACGCACTTCTATACGCCTTACTTAGTCGATAGTGAGCCTTGTTGAGAGTCAGATTAGTAACACCACCACTACACCACGACTAATGAGACCTTACAGCTTTAAATTCCAAATGGAAAACGAAAGAATGAAATAATAAACAAGCATATTTGACACACTGATGATGGATATTCTCAATGCAATCCAGAGGGGTTTCTTTTCAAAACACTTTATGATTGACTGGCACGCAAAATTCTCCTTAGAAACACACAGTTTTTGTCTCTCTCTATATACAAGTTTGAACTTCGCCCCATATAAATCTTTGAGAACATTATATTATATCATGGTGTTACAGCATAAACGGAAGTGCATTGTTTTTATCACAAAATAATTCTACACTACACACAACAACAAAGCCTAGAAACAATAGTAGAAAACTCACAGTATTTTTCAGCTTGATTAATTAAAGTATTGGATACATCACGTCTACGATAATAGCAGGCAACTTTGGCTTCAACAGCACCAGTAGGAGTCTGTAAATGCATGAGGAGAGAAAAAGCCGAAAAGTATAACTGTCATGAGTAAGGTGATTTACATAGTACACAGTTTGAATTCCCACTTTCTCCTCTCTCGCTAATATCTTATAGAAATAGGAAGATAAAACAGTCAAGTTATCAAGAAGAGCATGTTAACAACTAGGGTGATATTGAAATAACCTCCTACGGTCACCAGTACATCTGCAATAGTACTAGTAGTAATACTGGAGACATGACTAAAAAGCTGCAATCAATAAAGGGGAAATCAATAGGACGACGTGAAAAACAACACGAGTAACTAGACCATCGGAACTAGTAAGCAGCAAAAAAAACAAAAAACGAGAAGCGATCGATAAGTAGGCTGCATATATGTATCTATATCTATATAAAAGAGGTGGGACAATGACAGTGATAAGAATAAAGACAATAGAAGGGAATATATATATGTATATATATGTTTATAGATATAACAAGTAGGTAGTCGAAATGTGTATGTTGAACAAAAATGTGGAAAAGATGAAAGCGCTAATCAAGTCTGTTGTTATAGGACAGTAAGAAAAAAAATTAATCGTACGTACTCACACGTAATAGATTATCAAAGTAAGAAGATCACAGCACTGTTTGATAACAGATACAGAAGGAGAATATTGGTAGAATTGCACCTGACTAGATAAAATAAGCATATTCTAAAGACTATAGATTGTCGCGTCGGGTGAAACAATTATTTTTATGACAGGTATACTCTAATTACAAGTGAGCATGCTAAAGTGCGTCGATAGCATAGCGGTTAGGACGCTCGCCGACCATGCACATGGTCCAGGGTTCGATCCCCAGCCGACAAACTCCTTTACCTCGCTAAGCCAGAAATACTGCTGTTGAAGAGGAAAAGTTGGGCATGAGGCTAGCAACCCCATCCTGTAAAATAAACACTGCTACGGAAACTTCAAGCCACTAGCTTGAAGCCCTATGTTCCACTGGGAAACGTGAAAGAAAAAAAAGCTAAAGATGTATAGTCTTCTTTTGGAACTAACGTAGGATAGGTAAAGCAATTTCCACTTAATACAAGTCATTCATGATATTAAGATACAATTATTCACTTTAAACGAACAAGCGTACAGATACTGCAGGTAGAGAATGCACTGAAGACATGTTGAATTGTTTCAGCGTAATTTTTCCCATCAATATATCCACTCGTCACTATTTTCGACTGACAGAAACGTACTGTAGCCTTTGGATGTAACTCTTAAACCGTCTCAAGCAAAGAGACCAAACCAAGATATCTATATATGCGTACCTGTGTATGAATTTTGACAAGGAGTTCTAACAACGATTACTTTTGGTGGACAGATGTTAACTTTACAGAAGCTTTCTTAGGATCAATTTACATGAATTCGAGTAAAAAAACGTCACTGACATTACACACTTTTTGTGTGATTGGAACCAAGAATTCACAGATGCAGTCAAATGGTATCCAGAAGTCAAGGGATGTGACTGCTGTTCAGTACCATTATATGTATCTACATACGAGATTGTTATGCAGAAGAAGTCAAGGCATGGAGCCATTCATAAATCTGTCAGCACATGACTATACTCTCATTAAGATTATTTCTTCATACTTATCACTAGGGAGTTTTCTTTCTTTTTCATACTATGAAATGTGGCGCAATATCTCCTTGTGTCTTGGATTCGAGTCCTTGTCCATCTACTTCAGCTTGGACAACTGAATAGTGCCATCAGCACCCAAACTATAAGTGTGGCTCTTAACCTGGTTTGTAAGAAATCCGTTCCGAGTAACTGAGTTTCAGCACAACATAAAGTAAGATAATTGGCATACTAGCTATTTTCATAACTCATTCATAGTTGGACTAGTGACCTGCATCCTTACGATGACTTTCAAACGAATTGTGTAGTGTAACTAGAAATCGGTTGAAATGCTTATCAAAATCATGATTATTGTCTTTTAAATTCATTAGAAAGCATTCTTTCCTACAGGTAATCTCGTCACTAATCATCACCTTTGACAGGGAACAAAAAGAAACTTCGTCATTGTGCCAGCAAAGAGATTAGATATGCAAATATAAAGTCTACAGTGTATATTTTACGCTTACCTTATTCAACTCATCTATTCGACGGATTTGATATGGAGCAGTAGCTGATGACTCAAAATAAACGAAATCTAGAAAAGAGAAAAAAAAGCAGATAATGGTTACTCTGAATTAGAAAATAAATGACTGAGTGAGCTGCAGCGTAGAACTTTGCAAAGAAGTACAGTAGTTCAAACTGAAACACACACACCGCATAGAACTCAAAGATAGAGAAATACCAAAAATTCAAAAGAACCATAATGGGTAGAAACGTATTGGAAAAAAAGTAATTACATGGGAGAAATAAAAGAGGGCTTAATGGATCTGAGAGATAACAAAGAGTGGATACATTTGCCCCATCGGTTCTTAGTGTCCCAAAGATCCAGCCAGATAGTGCACATCTTCTGTCTGTTTTCGATATAGAACTTTGTACCAATGTGCAGCAGTTCAAGTCGCCACACTCCATATGGCACACAAAGCAAGAGAAGAAAGTAGAAGAAATGCATAATATAGACAGTAAACAGAGGTGTGAGACAAAGGAATAGTAGTAACGGAGAACAAAACAGTTTAATTGGAAATCATAAGTCACAAGGAGTGGATGCATCTGCGCCACTGAGAACGATTTTGAGCCATGTCACCAACTGTTTCCAACCATTGGTTTTTACCGTCCCGAGGACCCCAATCAGTCAGGAAGTCTACACCTTCCTACGTGGCTTAGACTAACTGTTGTAGATTTCATTGACTGGTGCCATGTTTTCGTTTGACCGCCGCTAGCTCTTTTCCAGCCTGACCCTATATCAGCTAACATTGCCCGTCGAGGAAGGCGATGATTAGGCATACGTGACACATGTCCTAACCATCTCAGTTGATGTAATTTCACAACCTCATCGATTGATTTCCCCTCCCACCTACCTAGCATTCAACGCCTAACCTCAATATTGCTCACCTTATTATATCACTTCACACGGGAGATAGAACGCAGGCACCTATGGTGTAACACAGCTAATCTTTTCATGTCTTCCACTCTCAATGGCCAGTTTTCACTCACAGCCATAAAGGAGGACGGAGCGGACTGTTGAGCAGTACACACGCCCTTTGGTCGATAGTCGGATATCACGTCTACTCCAGAGACAGCGTAAACTGGCATATGCGAAACTAGCCCTCTGTATCCGTGATGAGATTTCGTCAGAGATCAACTTCCTATGTGGCAGATTTAAACCAACAGTCAAAGACTGCATGCATTGATTTCTGGTGTTGATTTAATCACCACTAAGTCTTCCCCACTCCCTGTCCTATGTCAGATAGCATTCCTCACCGAGGAAGACGGTGACTCCGCATGTGTAAAATGTGACCTAGTCATCTCAATCGATGTAGCTTTACAACCTCATGATAATCTGATGTTAGTCAGCATAGTGAATATTTAAGCTCACACCAAAGCATAACAGACTTTATGATAAATGGAAAAGGAATCAACATATACTTTTGTTATAAGTTAGCTATACTGAACTTAAGAGAGAATGAAGAGGACAGTTTCAGACAAGACTGATGTCTGTTAAAATGTAATCCACATCAATGCTTTTACAGTATGATTGCAAATTCAGAAAACGAAACTGGTCACCAGTAAAACAATACACTTTCCTATGACATTCTAATTCCAGTGTGTAGTCAGTGGTTGTACGTTGGGACTGTTTTTCATGCCAACAATGTACTTGAAAAGTGTTTTGTTATCAAACCAAGTGATACTTCGCATGTTTGCTTTTGTTGACGAATAGAATATATATAAAAATGGCAATAAGCATAACCCATCTCATGTATAACCCCTTTTTTCATGATACAAACTTCACAGCATGTAATATTGGTGTGGTTATGTTCTTTGAGTTGGGTGGTTTAGTTGCGAAGCTTTCATTGTCTATCTAGACATCTTCAAAGCAGACTTTCAAATGAATTCCCCCTGAGTGATAAAATTATCTCTCTTGACAACCTCGGTTGGGATTAGTTATTAATCTGTACTTCACTTTATACTGAAGTTTGCACTGAAGACGTCTAGAAAGACAATAAAAGCCTGGCGAACAAACTACCCAGCTCATAGAACACAACTACACTTATATTACCCACCTAAGCTACAAATGTTTCCAGCATGTAGGAATAGATTCTGTAGCAGTGGATAACGAGAGTTGGAAACATATTTATCATCTCTATGCTGAACAATTGCGTGTTAATAGTTCAACAGTTGAATGTTCGTCAACTACCTACATAGTCTCGACTGGATTCCCGGTCGACGCAAACCTAGACCTCGTTTAACTGGTAGTAGTAAGCTGGGTAAGAAGGAAAGGCTAGACGTGAGACTAGCAAACCCCGCACTCCTCGAGATTTAAAGCTCATCAACCTTGAAGACTTATGGTGTACTCGGGAGAACAAAGGAAAGAAAAAGTTATACAGTTTTGACTACACATTGTCTAAGCTGAACAACCCTATTCATAACTATAACAGTGTAATTGTAGTACGTAAAAATAAGCATGCATATTCTTTCGAGAACAAATTACCTTCTCTTCTACAAAAAACATGGAAACATTTATCAATTAAACTAGCTGACCAGTTAGTTTCTTTTCATCAATCAAGGAGAGTTAAGTTAACTTGATAACATGATACTATATGAACAATAGTTAGTTATAACTGGAATCCCAGTTGCAGAACAGATTCTCCAGAATCTGAACCACACGTGAGTACTATTCATTAGAAGGAAAAATGAGATCATTCTGAAAATCAGTGCAAAAACTGACACTATAGGAGAAGACCTTGTGCCTTTATCCTCCGATTGTTCACATTGAGTTATACTAACCAATTAAAAAAAAACTATGCTCTTTTTATTTCTATCCCCTTATCCTTTGACTGAGTCAGTAGAAATACTACTACACATTGTTTTCAACTATCAGATGCTCTAGTTTCCATATAAAAACCGAGACTAAAAATATTCAGTAGCCGTACAAAAGAAGGCCAATGTTATATTCAGAAAGCCTCCTTTGAACCAGTTAACTGATTCATACAGCTGATCAAACTTATTTACAGCAAACTAGCACAAAAGTCTGATGTAAGTGAAACCATTGACGAATGACTACGAAAGATGAAATATGATACATATAAGTATAGTTAAGCTGACCTTCGGTCACTCTTTAACAGTCTAAAATTTTGATGTAGTTGTGTATTCTGAGCTGGATGTTTTAGTTGCGAAGATTTCATAATCTAACTAGGCAACAACTGCGCGGACCTCAATATGACTTCATATTGAGGTTATATAGAAAGAGACAGTCAAAGCTTTGCAACTAAACCATTCAGCTCAGAGAACACAACTACACCAAAATCACCTACCTGAGCTACAAATCTTCTCTATTAGATCTAGAGTCGAATATATATTGCCATAACTAAGTTTTAACACCGGACTTTGCACAAGTGCACCCGTTCAAGTTGCCACATTCTATGTAATACACAAAATACATAAACGTAGAGAAAAGAAAGAAAAGGATTTGAAAGAGGTATAATGGGCAGAAATGTCCTGGAGAAAGAATAGTGAAATGGGAATAAATGAGGGTTTATTGAACACATGTCTCAAAGAGTGAATATAACTACTGGGTGATAACGATATCATCAATAGTCTCAAGGCATCAGTTCTCACAATGCTGAGGACCCTAACCAGGCAGTCTACACCTCCTTATGTGACTGAAGCTAACAGTCAAAGACCTGATGGGTAAGTGCTGTTTCTATTTGACCACCTCTAACCCTTTTCCAACAGAACCCTAGGTCAGCTAACATTGCTCATCCAGGACAGCAGTCGCCCTACATGAGCAATACATGTCTTAGCCATTTCAATCGATGTAGCCTTGCAACTTCACCGATTGACGTACCCATCGTATATAGCAGTCAACCCCTAACTTCCATATTACTCATTATATTATACTACTTAACACGGGAGATAGAGGGCAAACATCTTCGGTCAGAGATAGCTAGCTTTTCCGTATCTCCCACAGTCATAAAGGAGGACAGAGCGAGCTGCTGTACACTACACACGTCCTTTGATCGATAGCAGGATATCCCGTCTACGCCAGGAATGATGCTAGTTGGCAAATGCCACAAAAGGCTTTTGAATCTATGCTGAGATTTGGTTAGTAATCAGTACATTAGGGCTGATGCAACTTCCTGAATAAGAGAAGTGGTGAACATGCCCTATAAACACTAGCAAAAGTTGGGTGTAAAGAGATATAATAATTTCTGACGAAATCACAATAGAAGTATTTAATGAACAAGACTAAGGATAGTCATCTGGATTAAGCTGTATTTAGGTGGGATATGAAAGTTATTCAGTGAAACCATATATGATCAGCCAAAATCTATGACTTTCTTGATGTTTTAAAGAAAAGGAAAATCTCGCAATGACAATACAAGAATTAGTTCAGGCAACGTGATGAATTAGTACTTAAAGCTCAACAGGAAAAAACCCCAGAAGACTGAACATCTTTCAAATATTACAATCGGAATATATATATATCAATTATATGTTTAACGTAATTTAGATCTTGCAACACAAGCTGAATTAGTGCACACCTTGACCAGAAGGTGGAGTTAGACTCTTAAGAGAATTATAAGGTTGAAACGTTGATATTATCTGCAGTTCTATACATTCTTACCTGTTTAACATTAACTGAAACAAGGCAGGGAAAGAAGCTAAAAGTAGGCGGACTGAGTACAGAGTCACGACAAGATGTTTTTAATCGCTGACTTGACCAGTGACTCCACGCAACGCGAGTCGAAATCATTACTCGTACTGAAAAAACATGCGAACTTAATCTCAACTGCAATGATGCATTATAGCACGCCCGATAGCCTATTATCAGTCAGTTAAAGGGTTTCAAAGTGTACCTAGTTCTGTGACAATGAAAATACTATTTGAAAACCACCTGAATTCTCATGCAGTTGCAAAAGAATCACACCTTTTATGTGAAAGTTAATGGTACTACATCGCAGGTCAAATTTGTGTACATGAATTTGGGTTCAAATCTGTGATCCAGTGGCTGGGAGGTGATTGCCTCAACTAGACAGC